CAGCTCCCAAGTAATGCCAGCCACAACATTGTGAATTCCTCAGGGAGGTGCCAGTCTCATCATCCTCTTATCTCTCCCTCTCGCCTCAGGAAATGAAAGAAAATGTTTTTCTCCTTGAGTCCGGCCTTCATAATTCCATTCCATCACAGACCCAAATCTAATATTGAAGAGTTTTGTATAAAAATAACAAATCTACTATTAAAAATTACCTGGTCTATGAAATATTTTTGGATTACTTTCTAAATTTTATATATCTGTAAATCAAGTTCTTTATATTACATAATCTGTTACAATGCCTATAAAGCTCTAGACATGTGCCAGAAACAAACATGTGACTTCATGCAGGTAGACACACATGCATGCCCACACTTTTACATTTGTAAATAAATCCTGTTCTTTTTCCCATCATCAGGTATGATACTACACTGTCAAATACTTGTGTTGCCTTGAGCCAAAGATGGATCAAAGTGAGTAAATTACATCTAATGCACAGAAGTTTTATATGCCTGTCAAGTGTCATTTTAGTGTTCCACTCTGGATTGACTTCCACTTTCACAGTACAGAGTGTATTATGATGTCATTAGCCAACTTGCCTTTATACTGAAATACTGTTTCATTAGCTGTTGTTTTAGACTGTTTTTAACATTAGCTCTTCACATTTTTTTCTTGGTGATGGTATGGTATGTAAGAGGGATTGCATGGATTTTCTCAATAGAAATATGTGCTCACCATAATCCTATGTTACAACGTTGTTCATAATTATGTGGAAGCAGGACTTCAGTTTTCTTTATTGCAGCTAGAGTAAGGGATACATTCAGTAGGAAGTATATTTTGTCTAATCTTGACTTTGCAGACATTTGCAATCTCTATAGCCGTATATGTAAGTATGTAGAGAACATTTCTTGTCTTAGAAGAGATACTAAAGTCCTTGGTATTTAATTCTTATTTACCTAAGTGAGGTTTGGTAAACGAAATCATTTTGAACCTAAGTCCTGGTATTTAGAAACTAAGACCTGCCTTGTACATTCCTGCCTGGCGTATTTCACACTTCTTCCCAATTTGGCTTTCTTTAGGCTACTGAAAGTGATCTTGGCTCTTTCAGCTCAGCTGATATAAAAGAGATGTCTTCTCACCAACTGATTGAGTTCCTCGCACTCTTGCTGTTGGAGGTAAGTTGTTGCCAGACATCTGTCATTTATACATGTGTTCAGCCAGACATTGAAAGGAAGGATTTTTTCAAAGAATATGGCATGCACCTGGCAGACCTAGACAGTATTTTATAATTTGGGAAATAGCTTTTTATAACTTGTAATATGGAGAATGTTTGTGTATTTATTTGATTTGTTTGGCTGCCCATCTCATCTAAGCGACTCTGGGCGGCTCACAACAGGTAAAAACAAGTTAAAAAACTAATATACATATAAAAAACTATGATCAATTTAAAAAACAGAACATCATGATCAGCAGTAGAATTCATTCTACTTCAGCTCAACATAGCCATCGTAAGAGGTCCCCACTGTTGCCAGACCCCCAGGCACGGTGGCAAAGCCATGTCTTCAGTGCCTTCCTACAGATGAAAGTGATGTTCCCCAGGGCAGGCACCCAAGCAGAAAAGGTTCTCTTCCTGGGTCCCGGAAGATGACACCCTTTCATACATGGGACAGGTTGATGTAAAGGGGAGAGACAATCCCTCAAATAACCTGGCCCCATGACATGTAGGGCTTTATAGGTCATAACCAGCACCTTAATTTGAACCCAGAAGCAAACTGGCAACCAATGCAGCTCGTGGAGCTGAGGTGTAATATGTGCTGATTGAGGAGCACATATAACTGCCCACGCCACTGCATTCTGTACCAGCTGCAGCTTCCGGATGCTCTTCAAGGGCAGCCCCATGTAGAGTGCATTACAGTAATCCATTCGAGTGGTGACCAGGGTATGAGTGACTGTGAGCAGAGACTCTGGTCCAGGAACAGGCACAACACAGAGTTGCACGATGTTATTTTCAATTATTATGCCAGTGTATAAATAGTGGAAAATGGTAGCTCAGTGGTAGCTCAATGTGATATTTTTTCATTCAGAAATGGTGGGGAATGATTAGCTCAGGCAAGTATTTAGTTCAAAAGACTTACGTTTGCTTCTTCCTTATTTGTGTGAGCATAAAGCAATCATTTACATTACAAATTAACCAGCTATTTTTTTTTTATACAGTAGATGTTGATTTAGAGGGGGGTCTGAATATGTTAGGTAACTATCGGAACAAGAAAAGCAGAGGAACTGGCCTTAGAAATAGGTTGGGCACCAAAGGAAACAATGCTAGGAATCAGTTACTAAACTGTTCCTATATCTATTTAACAAATATAGACCAAAAAAAGGAAGTTGTATAATATTATTATTATCTGCTTTGAACTGTACTTTTCTACAATAGAGTGAGTGAATTTTCAGATACAGTGCTTAAAAGCTGGCACGGTTATTTAGAACTGAAGATGCATAGTCGTGATTTTTTCCCCCTTTCCTCTCCTCTTCAAAATTCCTAGAATCCTCTTCCAGTGAACCATGTGAGACGAATGCAGGAAATCTATGACTTCAATGCAACAAATAATTCAGAAATCAGATTCAGGTTGGTTAAAAATGTAGAAATAATATCTTGAAATGGTCACAAATCAAGTTTTTCTGCTTAGTCCTATTGCATGTGCACCTGAATATCTCATTATGGAGGTCAGAAATTATACATGGAAACAAAGACATAGAATTAAGCAACTGTTCAGGTATGTTGTGTGTGTATCCACATCATACCTGGGAAGTTTGAAAAAGGCAAAAGTTGATACCCTTGTTTTCTACTTCTGCTGCATTAGACTCCTTTAGATAATGAATTATATCTGGCAAAACCATATGTTTAGTTAAAAACTTTGCAGACGTACTCTGTTTACTTTGATGCCAACATACATGATTGTTCGTTAGAAGGTTAAGCTTTTGGCTAAATAGGCCATTATTGCATCATGACTTTATTTTTTTTCTTTGCTTTGTCCCCATGCACTGACTTCAGTGCTTTGTTCCCAATCTCTTTAATTCAAATTTTAAAGCTCTTTCTAAATTGACATTAAATCACAATTCCCTGTTTTGCTCTTTAGCAAGACAAATGGGGTTTAAAGAGACCAGAATGAAAGTTCCAAATGTGAGGAAAGGGGAGGGGAGTGATCTATGGGCCTGGCAGTCAATCCATAACTTATGAAATCACCTACATTTGTTAAACCAAGAATGTTACACTGAAATTATCCTTAAAATTGTCTAATCTGCAGAGGGTGCTGCCAATTTTTTAAATTCTAAGTAGCGATTTGATTATTCATTGTTTATATGTTATGTGCAGGATTCTTGCAGATTTCTTCAGTTGTCCATGATGGACTGAAAAGCAATCTCTCATTGTCAGTAGATTGATTTGATGCATGTCATAGAATAGAGCAAACTGACATTTATTTAAAAAAAAGTATGTGGAGAAGTTGAAAGGATACTGTATGTCCAGTGTGTGCTGAAGCTTCAGGAGCTAAATGTTAAACAATAAGACTATGAAGGGAATATCTTGCCAAGACAACTTGTTCCTCTTGTATGCAGCGTGCTTCCTCTAAACACTACGGCTAGAGGCAAATTATCATTTGTAATAGCTTTTCTTATGTGCCAATTAAATTTGTTTAGTAACTGGATTTCAGAAAAAAAAGAATTATATGAGCAATTATGTATTTATGCTTAAGTTGTCTAGTGGTTCAATTTAGAAACAGCATATTGTAGAACCTGGGTTGTTAATCCTTTGTCATATATTAAAAAAAATTATATATTACCTCTGTTAAAAATCCTGGAGTCCTTTGCAATAATATAAAAGAATACAATAGAAATGGGAAATAACCTTCATCTCGCTACCTTTCAGGTGGCTCCGCCTCTGCATTCAAGCCAAGTGGGAAGATGCTATTCCTCTAGCTCTGGAAATGGCCACACAGCAAGGCCGCATGAAGTTCACTCGCCCGCTATTCAAGTAAGACAAATATCAGAATGCAAATGTGGACCCTTAGCTAGGCGAGGGAAGCTCCGTATTAGCTATTTTCCAGATAATTGACTCATCCTTCACTCAAATCGTTTTTGTCTCAACTCTTTCAAAGTCACCAGTACGAGAACTATGATGCAAATATGCAATTTCCTTATTTATCGTCTTACTGTGGAATTTGTAGCAACTTCTGTTGGGTCTATTTCTTTTTCCAAACAGATACAGCTTTCACAACTTGGGTATTGAAAGAGCAAGAGTTAACAACCTTTTTATGAAGCTGGCATCACTGCTTTATAATGTCCTTTTAAAACTTAAAATCATTTAGCCATTTTAAAATAATGTTTAAAGACATGGCAGTTATCATGAGAACACATAGGAGAATCTAGACCTTGTTAGATATGGCTGTGAGATTTTTGGCTTTTTAAAATAGTAATTGTTGTTGTTACTGGAGGTTAATGAGCATCATGTTGTTGATCTCATTTGATTGAAGTTAGCAGTCTAACAGGCAGAGCAATCCTCTTTATAATGAGGCATTTTGAAAATATGGGATAATTTACACTAGCTGAGACCTTACCTTGTTTTATTTTGTTTATCTATCTGTCACTCCAGTCTGGGATTTTTAAAATAGCAGACAGTATATACATATTTTACATAAGCAGTAGCTCTACATTATGCAGTAATGTAAGTAGGCCAGTTCCAAAATAGGTCCATACAAATCTGTTCCAATTTATCATGCAGAACTCTCAGAACCCCAAATAGTTGGAGCAGATGAACTGTTTGTGACCCTATTTAGTTCAGACTATACATTTTACTATGTTGCACACTGTTCTGATTATGGAAACAAAAGCATCCTAGCACTAAAATATGTTTTTTTTTTCATTTTTTGTTATGTGGAATTTATTATAGGGATCTCTATAAATTTGAAAAATCACGTGACCAAGCCATCAGAACTTTCCAGCAGCACAAAATGTCTATGCATCCTGTGACTGCAATGTTGGTAACCAAAGATCTGGGCCTGGAGGGACAAACAGCCTAACTTCCGCAGATTTCATTGTGCTGACCTTGTATAAGAGAACTTTGCTCTTCTTTTCTACCCTCTTACCAAAAAAATACAAATAAATAAAATCATGGTAGATCACATATTTGCTTTCTTACTTCACTTTCTGCTCTGAACCTGCAACAAAGAAGCTCTTTCTATATTTTCTGGAGCTTTGTACTTGTGCCATGTACACATTCTGCAAAACTGGATAAAAATCTGCTATATTTTGCTACATTACTTGTACTTTTATCACAGCTAGTACAGACACTATTTTTAACCATATAGCTTGAAAAAAATTATATATGTCAGTCTTTCCATGGACTTTATTGTTTCCTGCACTCAAAGAACAGTCATAAAAATAGCTTTTTGAGTTGTCCTACCTACAATCTTTTTTTTTAATATGCTTAATAACTTAATCACTGACTTTATCAGAAAATTGAAGTAAACACTGAACAGTATTTCTGATTGATATTCTTTCCCTAGTAGCAACATTGGCATTGCTCTAATGCCTGATTCTGTGATGGAATGGAATTATGAAGGCCAGACTCAGGGAGAAAAACATTTTCTTTCATCTCCTGAGATGAGAGGGAGAGATA